TAGCACCTCAAAGATCTAGAAATCTTGGGGTTTATCACGTGGGAAAACGGAGACCAGGAAAGGAAGGGGGCGAGTTCACAGTCAGAGACCTCACTCTGGTTTCAAACTCCTGGCCCCATCCTTATCCCCCTGTGTCTGCTAGAACAGCATGGAAAGGATCACAAACAGAGGCAGGGTGTCCTGGGAGACTGTGGGGGCGTTTTAGGGGGTTTTGGGAGGCTGTGGGGACTGCAGGAGGCTGTGAGGACTGCAGGAGGCTGTGGGGACTGTAGGAAGCTGTGGGGACTCTAGGAGGCTGTGGGGACTGTGGGAGGCTGTGGGGACTCTAGGAGGCTGTGGGGACTCTAGGAGGCTGTGAGGACTGTGGGAGGCTGTGGGGACTGTGGGAGGCTGTGGGGACTGTGGGAGGCTGTGGGGACTCTAGGAGGCTGTGGGGACTGTGGGAGGCTGTGGGGACTGTGGGAGGCTGTGGGGACTCTAGGAGGCTGTGGGGACTCTAGGAGGCTGTGGGGACTCTAGGAGGCTGTGGGGACTGTGGGAGGCTGTGGGGACTGTGGGAGGCTGTGGGGACTCTAGGAGGCTGTGGGGACTCTAGGAAGCTGTGGGGACTCTAGGAGGCTGTGGCGACTCTGGGAGGCTGTGGGGGACTCTAGGAGGCTGTGGGGGACTGTGGGAGACTGTAGGAGGCTGTGGGGGACTCTAGGAGGCTATGGGGACTCTAGGAGGCTGTGGGGGACTGCAGGAGGCTGTGGGGGACTGTGGGAGGCTGTGGGGAATGTGGGAGACTATGGGGACTGCAGGAGATTGTGAGGGACTCTGGGAGGCTGTGGGAGACTGTAGGAGGCTGTGGGGGACTGTGGGAGACTGTAGGAGGCTGTGGGGGACTGTGGGAGGCTATGGGCTGGTTTGAGGGAGCAGAAGGCTGAAGCCTTACCCCTAGCATTCTCTTCACCCCGCCTCCCAGATAAAGGCAGAGGCAGTGTCCTGGAAGTGGGGTGGAGAAGACCTGCCGGGTCCTCACAGGTGTTGCTGGTACCATAACAGTAGAAGTAGAGGTTATGAGATCTGTCTGTCTGGGGCCTGCCTGGTCCTTGGCTTGGTTCCCACACAGCTGCTGCTTCCAAGTTTATTTAGATATTCCGGGGCTGTTGGAGAGAACACTCTCCTAATCAGAGGTTGGAGAGCCTTCCAAAGGTCCCTATATGTTATGTCAGTGCTGTGGAAAGGACCCTTATACTCTGAGGGGGAGCTAAATTGCCCCCCCCATTGGTCTTATTGCTGGTAACCTTGGGAAGCACACTCCATGGTGACTGGATGGTTTGACTCCTGGCTATCAATATAATGTGACCACCCACCATAAAAAAGGAACAATACAGGGGCAGAGAAATGGCTTAGTGGGTAAAGATGCTGTGTAGTGTGAGGACCCGAGTTCAGATCAACAACACACCAGGCAGGCATGATAGCCACCTGCAATCTCAGGCCACCTGGCTACCTGGAGCAGCTAGCACTGGCAAGCTCAAAGTTCAGCAAGAGAACACGCCTCACTAAACCAAGTAGAGAGAGTGATTGGAAGAAAATCACCCAAATTCAACTTCTGGCCTCCATCTGCATGAATCATACCTGTGAACACACTACATGCATGCATATCACACACACACACACAACACACACAACTGAACAGAACAAAAATCAAGGAATAAGAACAAAATAGCAACACATCTGGCAGCAGCCTGGGGACTGACAGACAGAAGCACGTGATAAGAAGAAGACTAATGTGTGAGCACAATTCCAACCTGTAGAAACCCTAGTCAAAATTGCAGCCACAGAACTCAGTGCAGGGGCTGCCTGAGCAATGGGGCATACAGGAGCTTATAGGGGAATAAAGACACCCAGCTTCTTGCTTTGTGGCAGGTCCGTGGCTACTTCCACTCGGTGGAGCCTATCAAACCGCACGTGAACACAGACCCCGCCACTACTAAACCCTTAATAAAGTTAGCCGGGAAAGATCTTCCAGTCAGTACGATGCAATTCCCGATGTGACCCATGGGCCTGACCACATCCAGGGACAAAACTCTCTCCAAGGAACCTGGAAGAAGTGTGCAGTCCTTAGGTGAGTGATTCAGTACCAGGGAAATAGTGAGTTTGAAGGCGTTATGTCGGGGACATCTATGAGGTGATGTTAACCAGGCTGCAGGTGAGCATGCTCACACTCGGTGCCTTCCTGTCTTCCTGAGTCACCCTGCACCCTCCTCATCTGCCAGCCTCACTCCAGGAGACAGCTCCATCTTTTATAGCTATCAAAAAGTCCTCCTTAATCACACCACTGGTTTTCTGTCTGTTTTTTCCCCCATTTTCCCAACCCAGCACGAGGTGGACAGTCTCAGTCATGCTTGGGTTAGACTCTCTTCCTTTTGCTTCTGGAAATGTCTGCAGGTTATAAAGGCAAGGCTGACCTTTTTGTTTTTCAGCCTCATCCTCCTGCCATCTGTTGGAACCAACTGTATCCTATCCTGTCCCTTCTGCTTTTCCTGCCTCTAAATGACAGCATCTTCAGGTGGCTGTCACTCTGCAGTGTGGGGCGTTCGTCTGCCCTGGCTGCTGCTTTCTTCCCTTCCCTCCGTCCTCTCCCTGGCACTCCAGGGGCCTGGGAACAGGGGTGGGATATTTGGTCCCCATTTGAGAATGCGTATTTACTCCTGGATACTGGTTAGTTCTTCTATGAAGCGGAGACCAGCTCCGACAGCTCAAACCGGGTACTCAGCTGAGCCACACACCTGAAAGGCATGGGATGGACCAGCCAGACTCAGACAGCCCTGGACTCAGGGTTAAGAACTGGAGTTTCTAGATTATTCTCCTCCTCTCTCTTGCTGGCTCACTCTCTGCCTCTTGTCCCCTAGTCTCTCTGCTCCTCAGTCTCTGCTTGTTCTTTCTCTCCTGTCCTTTGAGTCTCTGCATATGTTATCATGGGTGCACACATATGATCACACACACATACACACCCACATGAATACACACACAAACACATGCACATGAATATATGCATGAACATACACACAGGAACACACACATGAATACACACATACACATGAATATACTCACAAACACACATATATGAAAATATACATGAATGCACAAATGAGCACACAAACACGAACACAGTACATGAATATACATATGAACACACACACACATGAATACATACATGAACATACACACACGAACACATATATGAGCACACTTGTGCCCGCATGTGCATACACACACACACACACACACACACACACACACACACACACACTGCCTCTCTTTTTCAGCCAGGAAACAAGAACTAAACAAGAGAACTCTGAGCCAATGGACATCCCTGGGCTGAGCAAGCTGGGGCCTTCAATGCACAGCCTATTATCTCGTCAGTTATTTCCAGTTATGTGTGTGTTGCCTTTCGTCTGGCCTCACAGGGTCCAGTACTGGGCCAGGCCCAAGGGTAGGAGGGGAGCGACAGGGTTGGGGATGGGTCAAGGCTGGGGAGGGACTGTTAAATCTCCCACTCTTGCCCAGGAAGCCCCTGTGCCTAGATGAACTCCAGCAGAACCTTGTCTTCCCCGTCTCCATGGCCATCGGCTGGCGGCTGACGGCTGAGGGCTGAGGCAAAGCCCTGGTCAGCATCAACTTTGCTGAATCCCCTGCCCTAACCTGAGCTCACATCAAAAGCCCCTGGCTCTCAGATGTGAGGGCTCTAGCCTATAAATCTAGAGGATCTGGCCCTCCAGCTAATGAGCTGTCCTGGCTGGCTGGAGCAGGGACCCAGGATCCTGTTTCACTCTGGGGACCTTGAGACACAGACTGCCCATCCCCCTGCCGGGACCCTACTTGGTGGGCTAGGCCTCTATGCTCAGTAAATCCTGGGGTCCCTGCCATGGAGGGCTTAAGGAGCCACTTTTTGTTCTCTGTGCTCCCGCCCCGAGGGGCCCTAAGGGCTGCTCCTGGGCCTACTTCTGGCCCCACAGGAATTTTAACCACTAACATCTGGCCCCCGGAAGAGCACATGTCCTCACCTCCTTTGATTGCCCTCACACAGGGGACTTTTTCCATTTTAATTTGAGGTGACCTCTGACCTGTATTCTCATTCCCATAGATTCCAGATATTTCCTGTACCCTCATATAACCTCCCAAGCCAGCCCCCACCTGACCGTAGCCCCTTCTGAGGAGACCTTGCCCTTCTCCGATTGCAGCTGAGCTAGGCAGGGCGCCCCCTACTCACCCCAAGGGCCATAGATGGCTGGACAAACTGTCAGTTATCTCCCTGAAGTTGCGACACTTTCGGCACATCCCAAGGACACCTGGAAGGTTTATAATAAGATAACAAAAATAGATATGTTGGTAAGTGTGACTCTGTGTCAGGGAGTAACAGCTGCCAGAGCTGGGGAGACAGCCTAGTTGGTAGGACCTGAATTGGATCCGCAAAACCCAACCCTGCTCCCCAAAAGAAAAAAAAAGTCAGGAACAGTGATGTGACCTTTCTAATTTCAGTCCTGTAGAGGTACAGACTGGTGGGTCCCCAGGGAATTGTGGGACTTACCCTATACCTGGTAAGTTCATGGCCAGTAAGAGACCCTGTCACACACACACACACACACACACACACACACACACACACCACCACCACCACCACCACCACCACCAAACAAACAACAAAATGCCCTAAGGTTTCACACATGCCCCCACACACATGGATAACAGTTGTCAACTGACAGATGAGTGAGCCCCCCCAACACACACACACACACACACACACACACACACACACGCCATCAACCAAACAGCAAAATACCCTAAGGTCTCTCTCTCTCTCTCTCTCTCTCTCTCTCTCTCTCTCTCTCTCTCTCTCTCTCTCTCTCTCACACACACACACACACACACACACACACACACACACCAGCTGCCAAGTGACAAACAAGGAGCCTCCCTAGAGAAGAGACAAGAGTACGCAGTCAGCTGTGAGACAGACACAAGCGAAGCCTCCCAGACACCAGCCTAGTGCCCAAGGGAGGGGTTTTTGGATCTGTGCTATTGCATGATGAGTCTCCATCCGGGTGGTGAGCCTTGGTTTGAGCCCCGTATCTCAGCAAAGTCACCAAAGGAGCCCAGCAAAAGCCACAGAAGACAAAGTGACAATCAGGGAGCAGACAGGAAGAGACACCAGACCCCTCAGCTCTACCCTTTGATGACAATGGATGGTTTCCCTCTTGGAGGTCCCCCTGGGTGTCCACCACTGGACTAACCTGGGCTGTTCATGGGCTACAGAAGCCATCAAGTCCCGGTATCCATCTATGATGTACTAAGAGGCAAACAGAAGCTAGAGACATATGTAAAAGACAGCCCTGTCACTGAAGCTGAAGCCAAGTGGTTCAATGAGGCTGGGAAGGTTTGTGAGGTAGGGAATTTGCAGCAGGGCTTGCTTGCATGAAGACCTCCCATTAGTCACGTACCCACAAGGCCCTGGGCCAGGGCCCAGAAGCCATCCCTTCAGTGTGGCCATTCCCAATAAGAGCCTACAGTTCTTCAGAGCCATAAGCTCCACCCCTACCCCCTGGGACCTGAGGTTAAATGGCACTATGGAAGAGTTTGTCACCCCTGAATCCTCAAGCCTGCCAGCCACAGCTTTCTGGCCCATGGTATGACCACATGACTCCCCCGTCAAGCCTTTCCCTGCCCTCCTGTCATGTGTGACTCACGCCAAACTTCCAGCCCAGCTCACCATAATGATGTCATCTTTACTCCCACTTACTCCTCGGCAAACACTCTCTTCTCTTCAGATCCATCGTCTTCGGGAAGGATCTCTGGGGTGAAGCATCCGGGGCCGCCTACGATGAGGCAAATTGAGACTCCTAGTGGGACAGGAACTCCTCTAGGTCAGAGACTACATTCAGTTAGAACTCAGCTGAGATTTCACGGGGGCTGATCTCTGCTCGCTGGTCCCTTTTACTTCCAAAGGCATGGTTCCATAAATCCCGGGCTTGGCTTCTAAGACGACAAAGCACCAGGGCAGCAGAAAGTCCTGGGATCGCCCCAGGCCCTCTGTGGTGCATTGACTATGAAGCGTCTCCCATAAAGTTATGTTTTGAAGACTTCCATCTTGTGGGGCTGTTTTGGAAGGTTGTGGACCCTTTAGCAAGTGGAGCCTTGCTGAAGGAAGGAACAGGCTGAGTCTCAAGGTTTAATAGCCTTAACACCCCCCTCCCGCCGCTGCCGCGCCCCCCCTGCTTCTGGGTCACTGAGTGTTCCTTGACTTGGAGATCACGTGACCACCCCATTCCCACCAGCCTCTGAGATTCCCTATATCCATTCCCACTCCTAAACTGTAAGCCCAAATAACCCGTTCCTTCCTTAAGTTGCTTCTGGTCAGGTATTTGGTCATAGCAATGAGGAAAGTAACCAATACACCCTCCTTGTCACCCTTTGGGAGACATGTAGACTGAGACAAAATGGAGAAAGAACGGGATAGAAGCATATAATGGGCAGCCAGGAAAAGGATAGAGATACAGACCCACAGAGGCCTGGAAAGGTGACCCCTGGGGGTTGGGTGACAGCCTCCATTGTTGGACCCCTGAATCCAACAAAGACACATGGAGGAGCAAGCCCTCAAGGCCTTGGACTTTGAGGAAATGTTTCTGGAACAGTGAGTTTCTAAGTATAGCCACTCACTGCTCCAACCGTATCCACTCCACCTGGGAATTGTATTGTTAGAAATACAATATTCAGGACTGAAGAGATGGCTCAGGCAGTAGAGGGCTTGCCACGGAAGCACAAAGACCTGGGTGTGATCTACAGAACCCACTTCTTTAAAATGCTGAACTTGGTGGGGTTCACTTACAATCTCAAGGCTGGGGCGATCCCTGGAGCTTGCTGGCCAGCCAGCCTAGCCTACTCAGTGAACCCCAGGTCAAGGAGAAACCCTGTCTCAAAAAACAAGGAGGATAGTGTAGGCAACACACACACACACACACACACACACACACACAGCTGAGGAAATTACTCAGTGTGTAAGAACACTTGATGCACAGCCTGAAGATCCCAGTTCAGATCCCAGCACACACATAAGACTGAGAGCACACCTGCCTATAACCCTAGTCTTGTGTGGAGCACCACTGGAGCTTGCTTTAGCCTACAGCCTAGGTTCAGGTTCAGTGAGAGACTATCTCAAGGGAACAAAACTAAGAGTGAGAAAGCAGGACACCCAGCACTCTCCTCCGGTCCTCGAAGACACAACTCAGCTGGTAAGTGCTTGCTTACCTAGCATACGGGTTCTATCCCAGCCACTACATAAACCGGATGTGGTGGCACGCACCTGTAATCCCAGCACTCAGGACGTGGAGGCAGGAGGATCACAAGTTCAAATAAGGGGCATCTTCTTCAGAATAAAAGGGCAGAATGCAAACCCTGTCCCCCAACCCCAGACCAGCTGAGGAGGACACTGGAGAGCGTTGGGAACCTCTTAGCGATTCTAACACATGCTCAGATTTGAAAACCACTGTCTCCAGGCAGCATTTCTATTGCTTTGATGAAACACCATGACCAAAATAACTTGGGGAAGAATGGGTTTATTTATTGGGCTTACACTTAAACATTGTAGTCCATCACTGTAGAAAGTCAGGACAGGAGCTCAAACAGGACAGGAACCTGGAGGCGGGAGCTGATGCAGAGGCCATGGAGGATGCTGCTTACGCGCTTGCTCTCCATGGCTTGCTCAGCCTGCTTCCTTATAGAACCTAAGACCACCAGCCCAGGAATGGCACCACCTACCCCAGGCTGGGCCCTTCCCCATCAATCACTGATTAAGAAAATGCCTTGTAGGCTTGCCTCCAGCCTGATCTTATGGCGGCATTTTCTGAATTGAGGTCCCCTCCTCTCAGATGACTTTAGCTTGTGTCAAGTTGGCATAAAACTATCCAGAACAGCCACCTTCGTAAAGGATGGCTGAGCATTTAGGAGATCTTAGACCTAGTCGGCCAGCCCCTTGCCTGTCCCCATGCCCGCCAGTGCTTATGGAGGCCTGCTTATGGATGCTGTAGCTCCCTCCTGGTTACACTGGACTTGGACTAAATAGGCAGAATATTCCAGAAGCACCTGGAATGCCTGGCATGGCCAGAGAGGCGCTGTGGAAGTAGAGGTGTGCCTACCATGCTTCCTCTGTCTATACAAATGGGATTCTGCCTCAGTTTCCCTGCCTCACACTCTAGCTTATCATTATTCTTCTAACTCTGCCTTGGGCCTCCACCCACTCACCTGTGTCCTGTGGCCACACTATGCCTTATCCCGAACCCTTCCCAGATCCCATACCCTACCTAGCATCTGCCTGAGGTAGTATGAGGAAAGCCATGGTTGTACTGCCTGGGATCTCTATTGCCATGGGTGCAAGCTGTCACCTGAATGAGGACAGCTGGGTATAGGGACAAATAGAAGAATAAAATCTAGATCACATCCCACTCACCCGTATCCCCGAGTGCCAAGAGGCATTCACTCAATGGGCACCTTTCCCTAATTTGCACATATGCACTGTATGGGCTCAGGCTTGAATATCTCAGCCCTCTTCCCTCGGGTTCCTTTGTCCTTAATCCGGACCTCCTCCTACTTGTCCCAGTCTACAATGGCTGGACCTCCCCATTCTCTCCCACCTGACCACACAGTCTGGCCACACACTTAGTCTCTTCGCTGGATAGGGTGCTCCATTTTCCTCTCCTTATCCCTCCCCATGAACTCTCCTGTCACATTTAAGATGACGTCATACCAGTGAACAATCGGCTTGGTTGGTAGATGTTTGAGGTCGTTTTATTACAGCATTTTCTAAGACGTAAGTTGAGGGACATGTCTGCCAGGCTGCTGGACAAGCTTCCCTTATATGGCCTGCCTGAGGCTCCCCATGTGCATGAGCAGCCTTGGATTCCACTGCCCCAAGGCAGCATCTCAGAGACTCTATGACCACGCCTGTACCTCCTTCTGCTTCTATCTTTTTGGCTCCCTTGCCCTACTCCACTTGCGACTCCATCTCTCCCATCAATTCAAGTTCAGGTGTGCAACTTATTTTCCCCAGACAACCAGGCATACCCCCAGAAGGCACCTAGCTCTTCTATTTTAACCATTTGGGATTGAACAACATCCTTCTAAAACATGATATATTCCCCTCCCCTTCCTAGGATAAGTAGGAACAGACACAGCTTTTTCTTGTGGCCTCTAGATACCAATTATTTTTTGGGGGGGAGAACCACAGTAAAGTGTTTTTAATAACCCAAGTAAGTACACAATCATTGTAGTGGGGGATAGAAAACAGATCAACGAGAAGAAAGGAACACAGTCACCTTAGCTCTTACCAGCTGAGGCAGCGACTAATGGCTTTCTATTGTATAACCTTTCAGAGTTTTTGTTCCTCTACCACCTCCTCCCCCTCCCCCTCCTCCTCCTCCTCCTCCTCCTCCTCCTGTCCCAATACACACAGAAGTGCCCACATTCCATTTTCTTTATTTAATGATCGCTTAGACTCCCAAATGCCCATGTTAGCTGGAAGTCTCATCTATCTGTACTCCTTAGCCCTTACCTCCCTACTGTGGTGTGAATGTGAAATGTGTCTCCCAGGCTCGGGTATGCACCCTGGCAGTATTGTTTGGGAAGGCTGGGCGGGTTTTAGAGTTGGGATCTAACTGGAAGAAGTGGATCACGGTGGGGTTGGGGGTGGGGTTGGGGGTGGGGAGGCTTAGAGTTGTAGCCTGGACCAGCAGTTTGCAGCTGGTGTCTCTGTTTCCTGATCCACCAAGATGTAAGCAAGCAGCCCCAGGCTCCTGCCACCACCAAAGACAGGAGCTTGCACCCACAACCTTGGCTCCCACACCACCAGGGACCGTAGCCTTTCAAACTGTGAGCCAAGACAACTCCTTCCTCAAGTTGCCTCTTTCAAGTATTTTATCACAGTGATGAGAATTGTAATTTAGATGCCCCTACCAAGGAAATCAGGGTATACTGGGTCCTAGCAGAAATTCTGATTGCAAGTAGAGAGAAGCTGCATTAGAGCATGCCTCTGTGAGCATACATTTTGCTAGTTGGGAGTGAAGGACCAGTGTTCATCTTCCCCTCTCCTTCTCCATCACTGAAGCCAAAGCTTTCCACCAGAGGGTGATGGATGAACAGATGTCCATCAGCAGTGTAGACAAAACTGAGCCAGTGTCCACACTGCTTTGATAGGACAACTCCTGGGGAAAGAAGGTCTGCACATGGGTCTGCCCAGGTAGTCTTGCTCATGGCCACACATTTTCAGTACTCTGGGTCCTAGCTGGACAGGATAGCATCTGAGAAGTGCTGCAGCTAAGACAGTCCTTCTCAATGATCCACAACCTGGGGCGGGGCAGGGTGGGGGGCGGCAGCATGAGTCCGGGATCTCCAAGAAGTAGAAATACTCAGGGACATGGCCTGATTATGGCCGGCTGGGTCAGCCACGCATCCCAGGTAAGGACACTGGGGACATGAGGAAGCTCCTGTTTCCATCAGAGTTGAAGGGTTATCTGGAGTAGCCCTGAAAAAGATGCCTCTCATTGCTCAGTGTCTCTGTCTCCCCAACTCAACCCTCCCCACCTCCAATTGTATTCTACACCTGTGGTTTGCTCCAGAACTTTCTGAAGTTCAAACCCCATCGTCTGAACTCAATGTCTTCCATAGCTTAAGGCAAACATCCAACCCAGTGTTTTAAAGAGCCCAGATGATGCTTCCTGACTTTTAATAATACACAGTGGTACCCGCTTTCATGGAAAGATATGCCAGTTTGTCAATAACTGATGTGGTCAATTATGTGTGGTCCCTTTCCAGGCTGATGCTTCAG